GGCCAAGAGAGACAGGCAGACAGGACAGGCAAGGCGGGGCAAGTTGGAGAGAAAAAACTGAGAGGAAAAAGATAACCCCAACCCCTCCCTTTGTATATTTAAGTCAATCAGACTTTAAAAAGCATCCCATTTGTTTCCTGCAAAACGACCAATAGAAAAGCGCTTGTCGCAGAGCCCCCCGTAACATCAATACGGCTCTGCCTAAAACTCTCCCCGCTTTCCCATTCTATTAAAGGGCTAAACCGCGGATTTCAGTGACCCGCAAACAAGCAAACACGCACGCATGTACGCACACGCGCACTCATTCTCACTCTCGCTTTTCAAACACACTCACTGCGGCGCACCGCCGCAACGACACACCACACACACACACCACACACCACACACACACACACACACACCAACACACACACACACCCAACACCACCACACACACACACCACACACACACACACACCACACACCACAACACACACCCCCCCCCCTCACATTACACATACATACACATACACACATTATTTACCCCAACTACTCCAGCCAGCCAAAATGATGATAATGGGTAAATATACTGTGTCCCATTTGCCGGAAATTGGAACTAGATTTATTTAAGGGGGAGCCCGAACAACCCATTAACAGTGCCGTGATGGCGGCGTGAACCGATTCGGACCGCCGCTTGCTTGCCGATGCGATTCCCAATGTTCGTGTCTTTCTTCAAGGTGGATTCTCGCGTGGGGAATGGGGGAGGGGGAAGAAGAGGGATAATTGGGATAAAGGAGGGGAGCAGAGGGAAAAGGGAATAGGAAAGGGGAAAGAGTATGGTAGGGGGATATGGAAGGGTTAGAGAAAGGAATAGGGGACCAGGAGGGGAGAAGAGGGGCAATAGGAGAGGGGGAGAGAAGAGGGAAAGGGGGGGAGATAGGAGAGGGGGAAGAAGAGAACGGGCTTAGATTTAGGGAAAGGGAATAAGGGAAAGGGTAGAGAAAGAGAGAGGGAGATAGTCGAATGGGGAAAGGCAAAAGGGAAGAAGAGAGAGGAAAGAAGGTGTGGAGTGAAGGAGGGAAAGAAAGGGTTGGAATTGGGCGGAGAGGAAAGAGGGGAGTAAGTGGAATTCGGGATAGAGAAGAACCGGGAAAGAGAGTGGGGAGAGGAAGATAGAGAGAAAAGAGAGCTTAAAGTGAGAAGGAAGAATTGGGAGAGAGGGAGAGGAGAGGGAGAGGAGAGGGAGAGGCGAGAGGATGAGAGGGAGAGGAGATGGAGAGAGGAGAGAGAGAGGCGAGAGAAGAGGGAGAGAGAGAGGGAGAAGGAGGGGGAGGAGAGAGGAGGAGAGAGGGGAGAGAAGGAGTGGGAGAGGAGGAGGGAGAGGGAGAGAGAGAGGGAGAGATGAGAGGGAGAGAGAGAGGGAGAGACGAGAGGGAGAGAGAGAGGGAGATGAGGAGGGGGATGAGAGAGAGGGAGAGAGGAGATGGTAGAGAGATGAGGTGAGATGAGAGAGGGAGTAGGTGAGAGAGAGAGTGAGATGAGGGAGTATGGAGAGAGTAGGAGAGATGGAGAGAGAGAGAGAGAGAAGAGATTGAGAGTGAGAGAGTAGAGAGATTGATGAGATCGAGAGAGATGAGAGAGGGAGGGAGAGAGGGAGGAGGGATGAGGGGAGAAGATTGAATCAATTAAACCCTTCAAAAATGGCCGCAGTATGTCAACTACTACACATCTTCATCATTGCGTTTATAAAAGAAAAAAATTTGTACTATGCTTGCCTGATTTGAGAGCAGATAAACATTTTTATTAATTTAGCAAACTTTAACCGGCTCACAAAATATGAATAGTAACACAGAGGACACAGACAGAAGTTGTGATTAATTTAAAAGACTCACTTCTCTCTCTCTCTTCTCTCTCTCTCTCTCTCTCTCTCTCTCTCTCTTCTCCTCTCTCTCTCTCTTCTCTCTCTTCTACTCTCTCTCTCTCTCTTCTCTCTCTCTTTTCTTTCTCTCTTCTCTCTTCTCTCTCTCTCTTCTCCTCTTCTCTCTCTTCTCTCTCCTCTCTCTCTCTCTCTCTTCTCTTCTTCTCTCTCTCTCTCTCTCTTTCTCTCTTTCTTCTCTCTTCTCTCTCACACACACATGCATACACACACTCTCTCATATACTATCCACACCTTCACTCACTCACTCACTCACTCACTCACTCACTCACTCCTCACCTCCTCACTCACTCATCAACTCACCTTTCACTCTCTCTCTCTTCTCTCTCTCTCCTCTCTCTCTCTCTCTCTCTCTCTCTCTTCTCTCTTTCTCCTTCCTTTTCTTCCTCTCTTCTCCTCTCTCTCTCTCTCTCTCTCTCTCTCTCTCTCTTCTCTCTCATCTCTCTCTCTCTCCCTCTCCCCCTCTCTCCTCTTCTCTTCTCTCTTCTCTCCTCTCTCCTCTTCTCTCTCTCTCTCTCTCTCTCTCTCTCTCTCTCTCTCTCTCTCTCTCTCTTCTCTCTCTTCTTCTCTCTCTCTCTCACACAC